TTTTTTTTTTTTTTTCAAATTTTTATGAGCATAATTGTGCAGCTATTTAAAAATCTCACGAAATACATCTTATAAATTAGAAGATAAAATTAATATATCTAATCGAGGGTTTTTTTTTAAATTGTAAAATAAATTATGTTTATATTATATTATAAATTTAACTTTGTATTTAACAAAAATTATTAATCTAATTTAATAATTAAATTTAATTTTATATTTAACAAAAATTTATATAAACAGAATTGTCTTTTAAGTTAGATTTATTTAAATCATATACATTGCAATTCAAAGTATAAATACGAAGAAATTTCTTACTCTTCTCTTTTTCTAGAGAAAGACTAAAAAACTTTAAAAAAAACTATGCCTTCTACATAAAATAAGATAACTACCGGTGGTATTCCTGGTGGCAGATTATTCTTAGCCAGTCGAGGGGAGGAATTACGGCTCTTTGCCAAAATTTTTCCTCTCTTTGTATTTATTTTGAACCGGGTAAAATTTGACTTCAGAAGAAATTTGCTTCTGATGTCATTTTATTTATTTACCTAATATTTTTTTTAGTAGATACATATCAAAAAAAAAAAAAATAAGATGTATATACGTCTCGTTTCTACTATTTTATTTTATTGTAAATATTTATTTTCAGTTTATTACTTTTAATTTGTATTACCTAATTGAAGATTCTCGTAATCGGTAATTACTTAACATTATTATAACGATGTTATTAATACGTATATCGATCGACATGCTTCGGTGATGTAATATGTAGGGACCCGCGATATAAGGAATCTTCATTCATGAAGAATAAAAATAAAAAAGGATCATAAAAATGAAACGAACGAAACATGTGACATTAATCACAGTCGTTCGATATTTTTTCTTCTTACTTGAAATTTACCATTTCGACGAAAATTATATCACAATTTTTTATTCATTTACAAAGTCAGAGTCGAATTATTTTGTGTATACTTATGTATTGTAGGAATATTGTATTTAAAATTTTTGTATTTCGGATAAAAACGTTGTATGATTGTAACTGATATGCTCATGTAAAATTTTATTGTATGATGATTGATGCAAAATTGTACACTATTTTTATGTAGATTTAGTCTTGACCTTTGTCTAGATAGAGAAAATTCGGAATTCTAAAATTGTAAGGTTTGTACAGACATACTTTACGATTTGTAACCATATCTCTTAACAGAACGGATTTCTAATTAAACATGATTTTCCTTGATTCTTTTTCTTCATTTTTAATCTTCAGTATAGCCATGAAACAAATATTACGATGACTAATTTCTAGTTTCTATTTTTATTTTTTGGAGATATACTCGATAATCTATAATATTCGAAAAGGTTTAATAATGACAAAATTAAAATTATATACGTACAAAATACTATTATAAGTACGAGATAATTGAAAAAAATTAATAACTTAAAGCGACCTCTGTTTAAATCGTGTCAAATTTTTTTCTCAAATCCTAAAATTTTTTCTTCTTCTACATATTAAACTATTTGGCATGGAATTTCAGAACATGATGCAGTAAACAAGTTGATGAAATTAGATAATGGACACTCCATTTCGTCGCACCAATTTCATCAGTAAACCAATTTTTATTTTACTCGAAGTTCTTCGTTAATATGATATACTACAAAATAGAAAAAAAATTAAGAAAACTCATGTGTTTCTCTAACTCTTGCCCCACAAGGGAGAAACTTAACAAATTTCTTAATAAATATCATGAATCTAGAATTTACAATTCCAAATGCATGAAAATTGTACAAGGTTTCTTAGAATCTAAGTTTCTGATTCTTAGAAGAACTCTGGTAATTCGATCTTTGAATATCGTAATCATAAGTTATCGTTCTTCCGAAACATAATGATCGAAGTGTATCGATATGCACGTCGTTCCGAACTTAACAATGATTTACTCGCGTTGCAGAAGAAAGTGTCGATTTGTAGACAGACGTGTGTCTAATGTATGATCATATAAAAAAAAAATCTGGTCAGACTTGGGAGACAAGTGCTTGACCTAAGGCAACGTATATGAATGCATTTTGTACAAACGCGAGGCTGGCTTGCTATTATAAGCTGGTTGGCTTGTATAAATATAAACCTGTGTGGCACAACGACGCCGGCATTCTGCCTCTCGGGTTTCGTCTGCGTATTACAATATGCGAGAAGCCGAGCACTACCTCTCTCTCATAGTCAAGATAAATGTTTTGTGTTTTTTAACCCACTCTGTGATAATGTCGACACATCGAGAGAGATAAATAGAAAGGCACCACTGCCAAAATCAGTGATACATTTACAAGGGCGGTGAAACATCATTCTTCCAAGCATTCACTGACTAACTTACAATTAAACTCACGCGTAATGAAAACAAAACAGATCGCGATTTTTTACGGAAATACGAATCGAATTTTCAGATCGCTCTCGGATGAAACTTATTCAATTCTTTTTAGATTGAACAGATGTGACGGAATATCGAGCATATTAAAATACATACTAAAATAAAATATTTTCATATAAAAAATGAAAACAATTATGTACTTCATATAGTGAATATTTTTACGGAATTTTAAATACTCGTTCTAGGATATCGAACAATTGAAGTAATTATTCTATCAAATAAATTATTTCTATTGATGGATAACGATTTACGAGAAAAGAAATTTATTCAAGTATTACAATATCTCTGGATTGTTGATTTGGACCAATTATCCATAATAAATAATTCTGAGTGGAATAAAATTGTGTATGAGGATTCGATGCGTTACGTTTCGGGATACACCGGTAGCAGAAATCCGAGCTTTTCTCCTGTATCTATTTTCTTTCTCACTTCCTCTCGCTCTTTTTTTCTACGGTCCTGACTCACAGTTCCTTCGCACTCGTTGCATTTAACTTTACTTAAGGCCTTCGATGCGATTCCAATTCCGTAGAAATTTTCAAAAGCCCGACGACAGCTGTTAAAGTATGTTAATAATGATGTTCCACGAGTTGGACAGTTCGAGAAAACCAGAAACCATAGATTGCGAAAATCATATCAATATTAACGCGTGTAATCCTGACTACGATATCAGGCATTTAATGTAAGTGATAAAGAATTGTTAATTTCGTAAGTGATGTGAATTATCATTGATTTCCATTAGAAGTACATTGAAACATTGAATAAAATAACCTTTACATAGACATAGATAGAACTCATTCTTATTTTATTTTTCTATCAAATATTAATAATGAATAAAGTTTTATTCATTATTTTGCAATAATTGATAATTCTATGTGACAACTTTCTTCATTCAGTTTACTTTATAAACTCCTTTTGAGATCGATATGTTTTCGAAGACATCGGACATTAATAATACTCGTTTATTAATAATGAAACATTCCAAGTCTTCAAGTACATTCGAATTGAAACAAATTTAAACAGCGGAAGTTGTACTACACATATCATGATACATGTTGAATATATAAATAATATTCAGCGTTGAATTATATGATAATTAATAGATACTGGATTTAATTATCAATGACTGAATAATTATTGAAAATATTTCATCGAGTATTTTTGCGAAATCTATCTTTCCCGTGATTATAATGATAATCTCGTGAAAGATGCAACTAACGCAGGAAATCTAATATCTCATTCAATGTCGATACGTATAGCACAGCCTTTCCAGAAACAT